CATGAAAGAAAAACTAACAGAATTGAAAGTAGAAATAGACAAATCAATAATTGTGTCAGAAATTTCAATATTCCACTCACAATAAGAGACAGAATAACTAGACAGAAAATCAACAAGCATAAAGAAACTTTGAAGAAAACTATTAACCAACACAACCTAACTGACATAGAGAATACTCTGCACAGCAAGTGCAGAATCCGTATTCTTTTCAGGTGCATATGAAATATTCTCCATGATAGACCATATTCTACGCCACAAAACAAGCAACAAGAAATTAAAAGGATTGAAGTCATAAAAGTATGTTTCCTACTTCAACAGAATTAAATTAGAATCAACAACAGAAAGAAATCTAGGAAATTCCCAAATATTCAAAAATTAACCAACTTCTAAACTCATGGATAAAAGAAAAAAATCACAAAGAAAATTAGAAAATATTTTGAACTGAATTAAAAGGAAAACACACCATAGCATAATTTATGGAATGAAGTGAAAATAATACTTTTAGGGAAGTGTACAGTTTTAAATACCTATATAAGAAAAAGAGAAAGGTCTCAAATCAATAAATTAAATTTCTACCTTAAGACATTGGAAAAAATAAGAATAAACTAAATTCAAAGCAAGCAGAAGAAAGGAAACAATAAAAAGTATAGCAGAAATCAATGAAAAAGAAAACAGAGAAACAACAAAGAAAATCAAGGAAACAAGAAATTTGTTCTTTGAAAAAACCACCAAAATTGACAAACTTTTAGCTAGACTAATCAAAAAAAATGAGACTTGATTACCAAAATCAAAAATAAAAAGTGTACTTCTCTACTGTCCCTGACGAATTTAAAAGATTATAGGAAATATTAGGTAAAATTTTATGCCAATAAATTAGACAACTTACATAAAATAACCAAATTTCTAGAAGGACACAAATTATCAAAATTACTCAAGAATAGAAAATCTGAATAGACCTGTAACAACTAAACATTATGCTAACAATTATAAATCTTCCCACAAAGAAAAGCCCAGGCCCAGATGGAAACAATAGTGAGTGCTATCAAATATTTAAAGAAGAAATAATATCAATCCTTACCAATTCTTTCAGAAAACAGAGATGGAAGGAACACTTCCCACCTCATTCTATGAGGCCAGAATGACCCTGGTTATCCAATTATACAACAACTAAGGCCAGACTTTACCAAAAAACAAAACTACAGACCAATATCCCTCTTTAACAAAGACACAAAACTCCTTAATAAAATATCAGCAGACCAAATCCAACAACATATAAAAAGAATTGTACACTATGACCAAGTGAGATTTTATCCCAGAAATGCAAGAATGGTTTAACATCTAAATATCAACTCATGTAACATACCACATTAATAGAATAGAGGACAAAAACACACATAATCATCTCAATAGATGCAGAAAAAGCATTTGACAAAATCGAATACACATTCACAATAAAACTCAAGAAATTTGGAATAGAAAGGACATCTTCAACTTGACAAAGGCTCCTACAAAAATCCCATAGTTAGTATCAAACTTAATGTTGAAAGACTGAGTGCTTTCCCCCAACATGGAAACAAGGCAAGAATGTCTGATCTCATCATTTCTGTTCAACGTTGCTTTAGCCATTGCAAGAAGGTAAAGATAAGACACCAAAGGAATCCAAACAGAAAATGAAGAGTAAAACTGTCTTTGTTCACAGATGACATGATCTTGTTTGCAGAAACTCCTAAGAAATACACTTGAAAAAAAATACAACTAATAAACAAGTTAGGCAAAGTGGCAGGATACAAGGCCAATATACAAAAATCAATTTGTATTTCTATTTCTATATACTGGCAACGAACAATCTGAAAAATCAAAGTAAGGGAGCATTTTCATTCACAATAGCATGAAAAATAAAATACTTAGAGATAAATTTACAAAGAAGTAAACGTCTTATACATTGAAAGACATCAAACACATGAAAGAAATTAAACATCTAAATAAATAGAGAGATATCCCATGTTCATGGATTACAACACTCAATATTGTCAAGAGAGTAATTATCCCCAAATTGATCTATAAATTCAATGTAATCTCTATTAAAATCCACATAGCCTTTCTTGTAAAAACTGAAAAATTGCTCCCAAATTATGTATGGGAATGCAAAGGACCTAGAACAGTCAAAACAATTTTGATAAAGATGAATAAAGACTGAAGGGCTTACACCACCAAATTTCAAAACTTACCATAAAAGCACAGCAATCAAGGCAGTGGATGGGGGTCTTGGTGCAAGGACAGGCATATAGATCAAAGGAAGAGAACTGAGTCCAAAAATAAGCCCTTACATTTTTGGTTACTTGAGCTTCTACAAAGGTGCCAAGACAATTCAGTGGGGAAAGGATAGCTTTTTCTACAAATGGTGCTGGAAAAACTGGATATCTGCAGGCAGTGGCTTAACCAACAGAAATTTATTTTCTCACAGTTCTGGAGGCTAGAAGTCCAAGATTAAGGTACTATCAGGGTTGGTTTCTGGTGAGACCTCCCTTCATGGCTTGCAGACAGCTGCCTTCTTGCTGTGTCCTCTCATTGCCTTTTTTTCTGTGCACACATGGAGAGAAAGAGACATCTCTGGTGTCTCTTCCTCTTCTTATAAGGCACAGGTCCTATCACATTAGGGCCCCACTCTTATAAACTCATTTAACCTTAATTATCTCCTTAAGGACCTCATCTCCAAATACAGTCATATTGGGAATTAGGGCTTCAACACATGAATTCAGAGGCGAGGGGGCATAATTCAGTCCGTAAGAGAGCTCTTAAACACAACAACATAAACAAAATTCATAAAAATAAAAGTTGATAAATGTTACATCATTAAACTGAAAATGTTTGTGCTTCAAAAAATGCCACTGAGAAAATGAAAAGACACAAATTGGGAGAAAATAATTGCAAATCACATATCTGATAAAGAATATGTATCTAGAATATATAATGAATTCTTAGAATTCAAAAATAGAGAAACAAGCCAATTTAAAAATGGGGCATATGATTTTTTTAACAGTATTTATTTATTTATTTATTTGTTTATTTATTTATTTAATTTTTTATTTATTTATTTATTTATTTATTTATTTTGTGAGGAAGATCAGCCCTGAGCTAACATCCTTGCTAATCCTCCTCTTTTTGCTGGGGAAGACCGGCTCTGAGCTAACATCTATTGCCAATCCTCCTCCTTTTTTTTTCCCCCAAAGCCCCAGTAGATCATTGTATGTCACAGTTGCATATCCTTCTAGTTGCTGTATGTGGGACGCGGTCTCAGCATGGATGGAGAAGCGGTGCATCGGTGCATGCCCGGGATCTGAACCCGGGCCAAGAGTAGCGGACTGCGCGCACTTAACTGCTAAGCAACGGGGCCGGCCCAGGGCATGTGATTTGAATAGACATTTCACCAAAAAAGAAATATAAATGGCTAATAGGCTCACGAAAGACACTCAACATCATTTTTCATTAGAGAAACGCAAATTAAAGGCACAATGAGACACCACTACACACCCAACAGAATAACTGTAATCAAAAAGAGAGCAACGTCAAGTGTTGACAAGCATGTGGAAAAACTGGAACCCTCATCTATTGCTGATGGGAAATGTAAAATGGTATAGTCACTATGGAAAACAGTTTGGCAGTTTCTTAAAATGTTAAGCATAGACTTACCATATGACACAGTAATTTCACTCCTAAGAATCTACCCAAGAGAAAGGAAAATATATGTCCACATGTAAATGTACATAGCAGAATTTAATAGCCAATATCTGAAAACAATCTAAATGTCCATCAACTGGTGAATGAATAAACAAAATGTGTTATCCACATCTACTAAGAACCACATCTACTAAGAAATAAAAATTAATAAACTATTGACAAATGCTACGAAATGGATAAACCTAAGTGAAAGAAGCCCAATGCAAAAGCCTACATATCATAGGCTTCCATTTATATGAAATGTCCAGAAAAGCCAAAATTATAGTAACAGAAAACAGATTAGTGGTTGCCAAGGGCTGGGGACAAAAGCAGAGATGAACTGCAAATAGGTATGAGAGAACTTTTTAAGCAATAGAAATGTTCTAAAACAAGACTGTGGTAGTATTTACAAAATTCTATTTATGTACTAATAAACATCGAGCCGCTTACAAGTGGTGAATTCTGTGGTGTGTAAATTAAATCTCAATAAAACCATTAAAGTGTTATCAAAAGATTGGCTACTTACAAGCAAGGTTTGCTTTACTATATATTTGTTTTTTTATCCCCTAAGACACTTAGCATATAGTTATGCACATGACAAGTCCAGATAAATATTTGTTAAATAAATCAATGAATAAGATACACTATCTCTCTTTCTAACAAAAATAATAGAATAAAGGTTTTCTTCTCTCAGAACTCGTAGGGGCAAGGAGCGGGAGATTCAGGAACGAGGTTTTAGTTAAAAGAGATTCTCCTCAATCATTTTGGAGGGAATTATTCTCTTCATCTGAATTATCTAGACATCACTCAGATAAGATCCTAATTCTTCTAAATTATTATCAGTATTTGAACTTTTAAAAATAGTTTTACCGTGAGGAAATGGCAAATGTTAGACAAAATAGAACAGTCTGACTTATATATTTGCTTTTACTATCAAAACTTTAAGTTCCTTATCAGTAGTAATATTGGATACTTATATTGATACTAAAGTCATGTGCCACATAAGAATGTTTTGGTCAATGACGAATCGCATATACAACAGTGGTCCCATTAGGTTAGTATCATATAGCCCAGATATGCAGTAGTCTATACCATCTAGGTTCGTCTGAGTATGCTCTATGATGTTCACACAACTATGAAATCATCTAATGATGCATTTCTCAGAACGTATCCCTGATGTTAAGGGACACATGACTGTATAATGGGCTTGATATATTTCATTGCTATGTAATAAAAATAAGAAATATCATATAATAATATTGATGGCAGAAAATATCTCTTACGTCTTCTATTTCTGAATTATCACTTGTATTTGCTTGGATTTTCTCTGGAAATATAATTTGTAGAAATGAGTTTTGAGAACCTGAAGAAAGAAAAAAAGCAGTTAATAACTGTGTCTTAAACCTGACTAAACATTTGTTCAGGTTATTTCATAAGATTCACTTATGCAAAGATGAGTCATCACTGTGTACTCCTATAAAAAATCTTGAAAACACTTAATTTGAAACAGACAGAAAGTTATGAAAGACCAAAAAAAGGGCAGGGAGAAGTATTCAGCTTAGACAAAATTTGCTATTCCTGAAGAAAACAGAACAAATACACCAAAAAATAATCAAAGATATACTTCAAGAAAACTTACCTGAAATAAAAGATTTGAAACAACAGACCAGAAAGTACACTGTATTCAGGAATACCTGATAATAATTAAAACTGAGACATATTCTACTAAAGTTATTGGATATCTAAGACAAAGAAAGAATACTATGGGCATATGAGCAAAAAGAAAATAATCATGTTGGGCATAAGGGAAGAAAAGAAGGCTGGCTTGAGAATTTTTTACAACAGTATTCAATATTAAAAGACTGAAAAACAATATCTAAAAAAATCTTCAAGAAAAGAAAGTGTGGAGCCAGAATTTTACACCCAGCAAAACTGTCATTCAAATATAGAGAATATTTACAAGCAAAAACTCAAGGAAAATATTTTGCATGCGCCTGTCACAAAAGGCAAACAAACTTCTCCCAATAAATATATCAATAGAGTTGAGGTAAAAGGCCTAGCAATGAGCATTAAATAAACCTAAATATAAAGGCTAAAACAACTGTGGAAATCATAGTTATATAACAGGATGGAAATGTTATAAACTATGATGATACAGACATAATAACATTATTGTATAATAAGGTCAGAAAGTGTAGCAGAAAAAAAGAAAGACCATATGTGCATAATGATTTCCTTAAATTTATTGCAGTGTGGTCAAAAAAAATGTGACTTAAAGCTGATTAAATATTCCAAATTAAGAAAGATCATATACAAGGGACCCAGAAAATAAACCAAAAAGTTACATATTTTTACAGTGAAATAGTTTTTACCAAATCAAAGGCATGAAATCAGAAAAGACATAAATAAGAAGCACTAAGATTAAAAATGTGCTTGAATACTCATTTCTCCAAATAAGATATACAAACGGCAAGAAACACATGAAAAGATATTCAACACCACCAATCATTAGGGGAAACACAAATCAAAGCCACAATGAGATACCATGTCATACCCATTAGGAAGATTATAGTCATAAAAAATAAAGTAAAATAAAAATAATATGCATTAGCAAGAATGTGGAGAAACTGGACCCCTTGTGAACAGCTGGTGGAAACGAAAAATTGTACAGCCACTATGGAAAACAGTGTGACAATTCCTCAAAAAATTATAAATACAACTACTATATGATCCAGAAACTCCCCTTGTAGGTATACAGCCAAAAGAATTGAAAGCAGGGACTCAAACAAGTACACGTACATTCATGTTCATGGCAGCATTATTCATAATAGCCAAAAGGTAGAAGCAACAGATGAATGGATAAACAAAATGAAATTTATATTTTTCCATATGTATTCCACACGATAGAATATTACTCAGCCTTTAGAAGGAGAAAAGTCTGACACATGATACAACATGGATGCACATTGAGGGCATTATGCAAAGTAAAATAAGCCAGTCAAAAAAAAACTGTATAATTCCATTTATATGAGGCACCTAGAGTAACCAAATCCATAGAGACAGAAAGTACAATGGTGATTTCAAGGAGCTGAGGGGATGGGAGAATGAGGAGTTAATGTTTAACGGGTGCTGAGTTTCAGGTTGGGAAGATGAAAAAAAGTCCTAGAGACAGATGGTGGTGATTGTTGCACAATAAAGTGAATGTACTTAATGCCACTGAACTGTACATTTAAAAATGGTTAAAACAGAAATCACAGAGCTAAATAATACAATAACTGAAGTAAAAAATTCAAGAGAGGGGTTCAAAGGACACTAGATCAAGCAGAAGAAAGGATCAGTGATCTCGAAGACAGCACAGTAGAATTCATCCAATCAGAGAAGAAAAAAGAATGCATCAGAGTGAAGATAGCTTAAGGGACTTATGGGATACCATGAAGCAGACCAATATGCGCAACACAGGGGTCCCCGAATAAGGAGGGGTGGCGGCAGAAAGCTTACCTGAAGAAATAACGGCTGAAAACTTCTCTCACCTGGGAAAAGAAACAGACATCCAGATATAGGAAGCCCAAAGAAAACCAAAAAAGATGAATTCAAAGAGACCCACACAAAGACACATTATAATTAAATTAATTGCCCAATAATTAAATTGCCAAAAGTTAAAAACAAAGAGAAACTCTTAAAAAGCAATAAAAGAAAAGTAACTTCTTATATACAAAGGAATCCCATGAGACTATCAGTGGATTTTTCAGCAGAAACATTGCAGGCCAGAATGGAGTGGGATGAAATATTCTAAGTGCTGAAAGAAAAAACCTGCCAACCAAGAATACTATATCCAACAAAGCTGTCCTTCAGAATTGAAGGAGAGATAAAGGGGTTCCCAGACAAACAAAAGGTGAGGGAGTTCATCACCACTAGACCGACCTTACAAGTCATGTTAAAGGGAGTTCTTCACGCTGAAACAAAAGGACACTAATTAGCAACAGGAAAAATTATGAAAGTATAAAACTCACTGGTAAATCTGGAAAAAAAAAGAATCTACAAAAATAAAGGGAAAATTGAATATAGATGTTTTCCTCAATTAGCTTCTACTTAAAAAAAATAAACAGAAAAGATCAGTAAAAAAATGGTTAAAATAGTAAATTTTATGTTATGTATATTTTACCACATTTTTAAATTTGTGGTATAACAGGCATAAGGCTTCAGTTTTGCAAGATGAAAAGGCTCCTAGAGATAGATTACACAACAATATGAATGTACTTAAGACTACTGAACTATACACGTGAAAATGGTTTAAATAGCAAGTTTGCAGGATACAAGGTTAACATATAAAAATCATTCTCTTTCCTGTATACCAGCAATGGACAAGTGGAAATTGAAATTTAAAACACAATGTCATTTACATTAGCACCCCAAAAAATGAAATACCTAGGTATAAATCTAGTGAAATATGTACAAGATCTCTATGAGGAAAACTACAAAACTCTGATGAAAGATATCAAACAAAAACTAAGTAAATGGATAGTCCATGTTCACAGATAGAAAGACTCAATATTGTCAAAATGTCAACTCTTCCCCAACTTCTATTGATTCAATGCAATTCAGAACAAATTCTCACCAAGTTAACTTGTGGATATCAACACAATTACTCCAAAGTTTATATGGAGAGGCAAAAGACCAAGAATAGCAAACTCAATATTGAAGGAGAAGAACAAAGTCCAAGGACTGCCGCTATCTGACTTCAAGACTTACTTAGCTACAGTAACAAAGATAGTGTGGTATTGGCAAAAGAACAGACAAATAGATCAATCAAATGGAATAGAGACCCCAGAAAATGACCTACAACAATATAGTCAACTGATCTTTGAAAACAGAACAAAGGCAAAACAATGGAGCATTGATAGTCTTTTCAATAAAAGGTGCTAGAATGAATGGATTTCCACACGCAAAAAAAATGCATGTAGGCACAGACTTTACATACTTCACAAAAATTAACTCAAAATGGATCATAGATCTAAATGTACACTGCAAAATTATAAAACTCCTAGAATAAGGAGTAAACCTACATGACCTTAAGTACTGCAATGACTTTTTAGATAAAACACCAAAGGCACAATGCGTGAAAAAAATAATTGATAAGCTGAACTTCATTAAAATTAAAACTTCCGCTCTGAGAAAGACAACATCAAAAGAATGAGAGAGAGAGAAGTCAAGATGGC